AAATTATTTATCTTAAATCAAAAATATAATATATATATATATATATATATAAGTTTTACAATTTTTATATGATAATGATGCTTAGAAAATGAACCATATCTCTTAAAAGTTAAAAGAACTAGTCATTCTTATGAAAATGAGTCAAAAAAGATAAAAAAGATGTCATGAGCCTTGTAATATTTATAAATAAGCTAAATTTTGTATCCTTTATAAAATAAGTGTTAGATAAGTGTTTAGCAAAGAGAATGTGCCGGTTCAGTCTCTTGACTTGTCACTAAGTTGTGTCAGAAAGTTGTTCAAATTGTGTTGACGAGGTGTCTAAATAAAAAAAAAAATATTAAAAGTAGTATTTAATTGTTATACAATGGAGAAGTGTCGAATGTGTGTCCAAGGTATGTCTGATGACGGGTATTGTGTCCAAAATGTGTCAGACAAACCAACACAACATTCTACAAATGAGTCCGTGCTTCATAGGATTTTATCTCTGATAAGATAAAGTTTAAGAAAAGTTATATTTTATCAAGATTATGTATCTAATTAGATTGTAGCTATGCTTTTTATTATCTTTATCCCCTTTAGATGCCTAATGTAATTTAACTTTAGCATAATTGGCATTTCCTTTGTTCAGAGAGTATTTGAGACTTGAGTGGGAGGAACACAAGGAGAACCCTTGTTTTTGTTTATCTTAGAAGTACCTGCCAAGAGGAGCACTCTTGGTGAACTGTCCTAGGTCACTCTTTACATTTAAAAAAATATATAATTATTGTATAAGCTGGAAAAATTAGAAAAATATGTGATTGCATAAGCATAAGAATAGGCACTGCACTAGCAACAGAGAAAACGGGAAGAGAGATCAAGTCACCTGTCTTGTATCTTCATATGACAGAAATGTTTCCCAACCCTCATTTGCCATATAATCACGCCGAACAAGCTCCACCTCTTCTGGCCTAATCTGGTGGTGAATATCCTACAGAGAAATACAAAAATGTTTTTGGTGCTCCATAAAGGTATTCAAGGAACAAATTGTGTCTGCAGAATTAAAAAGCTTTTTGCAATCTTGTTTATAAAATTCCCAAACAAAACTGGCTCTATATAATAACCTGGATTCCAGCTTCTCTAGTCCGAACATCACGACATTTCAATCCCAGGTCTTCCATTCGAGCTAATGCTAGCTCCCTCAGATTCCCTTTCTCAACACCAGAGGTAACCAGAGGCATGGGAATATCCCGCTGAACTCTATAAACACGTGTCCATGGGGGTACCATTGCAAGGATCCTTGCTATGATGTCCACAAGTTGCTCGGGAGGATAATTTCTATACCTACAATTATATTAATGATTTTTATTTATTTATACAGGTCATTTAAGAAAAAATTCCTAATGAATAAGAAATTGAAAAAATTGAGAAAAAAGAAGGCCAACAATAAAAAATATTTGATATACACCTGCCAGTTTTCCAGAGCTCATAAAGCCCAGTTCCACGAATTACAAGTGTAGGATATATTTTAAGCCCGTCTGCTCTAAACAAGGGACTCTCAAAAAACTCCCGGAAACTTTCCATGTCCCTTTCAACACCAACATTTGGAAGATCAGGCATCATATGAGCAACAACCTAAAGCAAAAGCCAAAAAAATTAAGCACAAACCAAATGGCAAGGAAGAGAAAGATTGATAACATTCATGAGTCATGACTAGCATTCAGGAGTAAAATATGTTGTAATATAGAATACTGACTTATTACACTGATAAATCTATCCAAAGCTTGTTCTAGTCCACACAAATAGTCAAATATGATGAGAGAGTAAACATGGCAAAAAGTTCATTGAAAATATATGTGCAGGGATAAGTATAAATAAATTTTTATCTAAAAAGATGCAGAAGGGACACATGATAATGGTTGCTTAGAATAAAGTCGTGTTTTCTACTGAATCAGATTGAGATAAAAGTAAAAAACCTTGAAACCAGCATCTTTAGCCAAGCAAAAACAGTCGGCTACAGCAGCTACAGTGTGTCCTCTATTTGTGTCACGAGCAACATCCTCATAGGTGCTTTGGACTCCAATCTCCAATCGTGTACAACCATAAGAAAGCATTTGTCGCAAGTGAGGCCCAAGACAATAATCTGGCCTCCTGATAAATTTAAAAAGTGCACAACTTGATAAGCTAATTATAGAATATAGATTTATTACAACACACTAGTGCGATGTAAATTTCACAAAACCTTTCCACTTAATTAATTAATTATAAATATGCTTAAACTAAAAATGCATAAACTCCCCAGAAATTTCATAACTAAACCAATCTATGTCACAGTGATGACTTTTCATATTGTAACCTTTATATATCCCCGTGGAAAAAGTTATTGATCTAAAAAGGATGCATCACTTTTATTAACCATAAAAGACAAGACAAACATTTATTCACAATTGTACGTGACTAACAGACCAAGGCTCAAAATTTTCACATTTATTGCAAATTTAAATATTTAAATGGCAAATTACGTTTCAATTGTCATGCCAATACACTTGGTTGCACTATGCTCAGAGTAAGCTACAGCCTCTTCCACATTGGCAGACGTGTGTCCAGACAAAGCATCATGAAGATTTCTTATAAAGTAATCACGGTAATCAGCTGGAAGTGACATGAAGGTACCACCCATTAAGATAAACTCAACCTGAAAACAGTAACCATAAATATAAGGACTTTACACAGTACATCTACACTTATTTCATGCACTTGGATTGAAATATTATATAGATAAAAAATGATCTCCAAACCTTGTCTACACTATGACCCAAACGCTTAAGTTGATCTATCCTGCTCCTCGCTTGGACATAAGGATTATACCTAAACACAATTCCACAAGTACACCATTTATAAAAAATTAGCACAAGGCACAACAG